CTGCTGAGAGTAGGGAGCAAGGACTGAGAAAATGTCAGCTACATGTTTCTGGAAGAGAGATTAACTAGGTCAGCAGCCCAACTCTGGCTTGTTGCATTAATAGAACATCTATTGAACAGGTTGAAAAGATTTTGTGTTTTCTTTCCAGTATAAAAACAGTGTATTATACATGCTCTGGTGCTGAATTCTATCCTTACCCAGAAGAAATAAAAAATGAAGCACGGAAAAGATAACATTCATCACCATAGCTTTATATCATAATAAAAAAACATAGCTATCACCCAAACAACCCTCTGTAAGTCTGTGTGCCCTGTATGTCATGTAGTTTTGAAGTACTGTGTTGCCCAGGCATGCTGCCTTCAAGTAGCACTAAACCAAGTACGGTTCTGTTCTGGAAGTGTCTGTCAAACTGGCATGGCAGGCATCTGTGCACTGTAACTACCTAATTGGTAGTTAAAATTGGTGCCGTTTTATGAGCAGAAATCATTTTTCTCATCATTTTTCAATGAGCTTTAAACTGTCAAGCTGTGGTCTTTCCTTTTCACACATCATTCCCAGTAATAAAGGTTCTGTAGACCAAATTGTGACTCTGTTTACCTCTGTGCAATTACAATTAGCTATTGGAAACATCCTGACTCAGGGCTGACTGATCCCAATGATTTATAGTCAGTGGGGCTCTACAAAGTAAATGAAGGTATAATGTCCTCTACTGGCTTCCATTGGTGACAGTAGGTGAGATGGAAGGAGCTCAACTTTACGGCCTAGAGCCCAAGGGACGCATGCAATCTGGGTTTAAATAAAATGGTTTTTCTGTAAACAGAATAAATGGGACAGGAAAAAGATACCCTTACAAGATTGTTTCTAAAGACCTCCACTTTGGAGCCGATCAAAGTCCTTTAAAAACAGTTTGAAAACAACAGCACAGGCTAGCTGCATAATGGGTGTCAAATCTCCCGTTGGTCTAAAGCCAATGAAGCAGTCAGTCCCAGAGATGGATCTAACCAGATCTGTTCTTATCAATACAGCCAGCCTCCCTAGAACAGAATAAACATTAGAGTAATATCAATTCAGTTAATTTATTCATATATGCATACTCCATAGAAACACTACTTGCACATCTTACCCGTAAGATTTCCATTTGCAACCAATTGACTTTTGAGGCATCTTTAAAGCTTAAAAAATCCAATATAGTTGAATAGTTAGCTGCATTACAGATGGAAGAGTAAACAGAACTTCACTCCAAAGCACTACAGCTGACATACAGGTTTCCAGTGCCTCCTCCATCACAGTCAAAGTCCAGTGACATTTTCTAATGAGAAGATGCTGTCTGCTTTTATCAACTGCAGTGATGAAGATGACCTTCCTCCAGCACTGGCAGCAGCAGCAGCGGCATCAACGCCTGTGTCTTCGGCATCTCCCGGGTCACAGAAAACATGTACACCACAGACGTCGGAAGGACAAACACAGGTTTCACCTGGTGGCAAGGTAATAAGCAAAGAGATGAGCTTATGTCAGTTCAGAGAGTATTCAGGAAGGGTGGGAGGGAGTTGCAGAAAACGTGTTTTCCTTAAATGAAGGGAGTAATTCTAAATTTAGGAGTAGTTGTTAATGCAGAATTCTAGTAATATGTTTAACCTGTTGTGTAAGGAAATATTTAGCGCCTGCTCCAAGGCCTAACTAAAATCAATGATAGTTTTTCATCAACCTTAGTGGGCAGCAGGTCAGGATTAAATTAATATTTACCTTGATTTCAAAGGTGCATAATTTTGTTGTCTGTCTTTGCTAAGTAGCCATACTTAAAAAACATGCTGTGAAATTTGAAATCCATTTGGCAATCTAAGCTTTACAGAATTAAAAAAAATAATAACTAACAGAATTACAGAAATTAAAAGTTTTTTTGAACACTGGGTTTTTTCTTTGCCTTTAGAGTTCCACAGATGCAGGAAGTACATTTACTTTGGAGCCAGGTGACCTCCTGATGGACTTCACAGAGGCCACACCTATGGTAAATAGTTTCAGTTTGCAACCAGGAAAGTGTAAAAGTTTTCAATAATTTGTCTGCAGCTAAAATGAACGGGGTACTATGCAGTGTGTTGGATAGCGCACAGGAATAAAGTAAGTTTCCTTGATATTCGGTGATCCTGAGCAAACTCAGCTCAGCATCTCTGAAAATCAGTCCACATCAACAAATATTATGGCTGAGCTTTTGAATGCAATTCTGTATTGTTGGATGACTTCTCATTTCTCTCTCTTACCTGGATATCTTTACACCTTGCTGCACTGTTTTCATGAGCTTCTTTGTCCCTTTAACATAGATTCCTAATGTGATCACAGATTTGGTTTTGGAAGTTGTCTGGAAGTCCCTTCTTCTCCCCACAAGTTTTACTCAGACCTTACCCAATAGCCAATCCAAAGACATGTACCTGCACTTTCATGTTTCATTAGCAGAGTGCTTTGCTTCACTTTAAGGCAAAATAGTGTATCATATGTTGATTATTAACTTCTTATTTTAGAGGTATGTGATTTGTATTTTTACTTTTAAGCCAAGGAGGGATGCTGGTCCCACTGAAGTCAAAATGCCTTTTGACTTCAGTGGTCTCAGGCTTTGACCTCAGATTCCCAGTAGATTACTTGAAGGATCACAGTGTGATCCTTAACTTTCTCCGAGTCATTCTGCATTGCAAAGAGCTCTAATGCCAGATAGCTCCTCTGCTGTCCAAAGCCATTTTTGCTGTATTCTAGAGACTATGTTTAAAGCATATAAAAAGTACAACAGGGGCAGCACTATGTTTTTGGCATGAACATTTTTGTATTAAAGTACTTCTGGGCATTGCTTTCACTACATGGTTAGGTTCTTGTTTACAGTATTGTATAGGTGCTGTGGGGATGTGTGTTCTGCTTCAGAGACAGTATGGTAGCAGTCTGTAAATAACTGCCTGTGTCCCATTGCCACTGGATGAGAGATGTGGCTTCCCCTGCAAGTCTGGTGAAGTGAAGGCTGCTCCCTGCTTGCAGAAGGGGTATGAATATTCAGCCATGGCTTTTTGGTTTCAGAGGCACATTGAGGTGGGCACGGGGTGTACTACGCCTAGAGACTTGCTGCTGTGGTTGGGAAGAGGGGTTTGATGCAGGGGACTGGCAGGAGTTAGGGAGAGGCTGAGACTGCCGCCGATGTACTGCAGTTGGGGAATGGACAGCAGCCCTAGAAGGGTGGAGAGACCTGCATAGCTGTTCTCTCTCATGCAGTTTCAAGCTTGTGGGATTGTTTCTTCACAAAGTTCCTGAGAGCAATTGATGGTCCCTCTATAACTTCAGGAGGTTCAATAAGAACGTTCTTCACCTGCCATCAAAGTGCTATTGGCACCCACCCTGTCCCTGCTGACCCCCGTCTTATCTTTGCCCTTCGGCTTGACTCAGCCAAACAGTCCTTGCACCCCAGGACTTTTATAATGCAGATGTTGAATCTCTGAACTGCACCAAATTGAAATTTAAGGGGCCCTCTAGCTCCTTGAGCCCCTAGGTCTCCTTGGTGGGAGAACTGTTCCAGCACTAGCATCTGCAATGAGAGTACAGTGCTTACTGCTCCTACATCCACCATATGGGAGGGACCTGCTTTTACACCTGAAAATACCATTGCAGACCAAGGAGCATCTACAGAAATGAGAAGGTTTACCTGGCACCTACCTGAAGTGCCAGATGATGAAACTATCCCATTCCCGAAAGTGACAGGAAGAGATGTATTTCAGCTGAATGCCCCCCACCCTGCCCTGTACATTTCTGGGGGAAGGGAAAATTAAAAGGGAGCAAAGGAAAGATAGAAAGAGGTGCAGTGTTCTGCAGCTTTTGTCTGTAGTTTGGATTGACAAGACACAGGCAGACTGAAACTGAAACTACCTGAAAGGAGGATGTAGCAAGGTGAGTGTTGGTCTCCTCCCAAGTAACAAGTGAGATGACAAAAGGAAATGGCTTCAAGTTGTGCCAGGGGAGGTTTAGAATGGATATTAGGAAAAATTTCTTCATGTAAGGGGTTGTCAAGCATTGGAACAGGCTGCCCAGGGAAGTGGTTGAGTCCCCATCCCTGGAGGTATTTTAAAGACAGGTAGATGTGGTGCTTAGGGACATGGTTTAGTGGTGGGATGGCAGTGTTAGGTTAACAGTTGGACTTGATCTTAAAAGTCTTTTCCAACCTAAATGAATCTATGATTCTATGATTCTGTAAAGGTTAGATTGTCCTTCGCTGTGTTAATAACATGTTTGTGGCTAAACTGTAAGTAATTATCCTTTGGATTTTACTAATAGATTTCTTATTCTAAAAAATGTTATACCATATCTCACTGTATTAATCAGAATTTTAAAAAATGAGTCATGAAGCCTTTAGCAGCTGACCTGCTCTAGATAACATAGGTTTGCGTTTTGTTTCCATCTAATAGAAGTCAGCATTACACACTTTTCCAGCTGAGGATACAGGCTTTTTTCCCTAAATATTTTACCCAGTCATGCTTTCCCCTTTCCTACCCCACCACCCACTGACATAATTTTTCACACTCTCTGTTCATAAACTAACCTTCCATGACTTTCTTGGTTTTAATATTTTGGAGAGCATGTACTGCACAGCATCAATCAACCCTTTTTGCTTTGTTTAACATCTATAAAGGTCAGCTTGTTCTCTACAGAGCAGTTATTGTTTACAGACCTTTCTCTGCAGTTTCACTGGCTACAGGCTGCTCTCGACTGAGGTTGGAATGAAAAGTTTACTCTTCAGGGGGAGAGGCTCCAAACAAAAGCAAGCTAAGAGGAAATGCGTAGCTTTGAGCCAGACTGATTATTTAATAACTCCGTTGTGATAACATGTGCTGTCATTTGAGGGTCAAAATCATGTACAGCTTAGGGTGGTGTTACTGTCAAGTCAGTGGTGGTGGTTTTGCTGGTAGCTGGTTTTGCATGTTATGGCCTGGCCCTTGGGAAGTTGCTTGTTAATTGCACCCATTTGTTTCACATTCAGTGACAGGTACAATACCTAAAGAGCTCATTCATACTGCCTAATTTGGGGTATTTGCCTGAGCTGATAGGTTTGGAAGCTCAGGTTCCTACATAGTCAGAGGGGTTCCTGCAGAGGGGTATTCAAACAGCTGTCTTCTCTTTGTCCTCTGGACTAGAGAGACAAAGGCACCTAAGTTGGATGCCTAAAATCAACTTTTTATTTTGGTCATGATATATGCTGCCAAACTTCCCCAGGTCACTGGAGAGCTGTTAATTTGAAGCAGTTCCAGACATCCTCCCTTCTATAACATTACTGGCAGAGAGTGATTAATAGTCACCGACTTAGCTGCATGATCTTCATTGTTCAGTGTCTAATCATTGATGCTTCTTGATGGCCTTGGGTTTTATCCATGATTTGCTGCTGTTGCCCATACAGTGGAAGCTTTAATACATGCTGAGAGTTACGGTTAGAAGTGGAGCTCACAAAACCAAATTGACTTATAAAAATTGAAGGATTAGTGAATGGATTGGATTAATAGAATTCATCCAGGCTGCCATGCAGGGATCAGAGCAGTCAAATTTGTCTACTCAGTCAGCCTGGAGGAGCTACTGTGATATATACAAGAACCAGCTGAGCTCTAATGGTCACTTAGTCATCAATGCTTAGCCTGCTCATAACAGCAGGGCAATTGCGAGGCAGACCGATTTCAGGAAATCATATTGCAGGAGAAATAATGCACAGTTACTAATGCAGATTGCCTAGAAGGAAAGGTATCCTTTTGTGCTCTGCACTCCTCAAGCCATGTGATTTATGCATGCTTCTGTTAATTTTTCAGGAAAATCCTACAACTAATTGATTACAACGCATTACGTGCTGTCCTTAAAATCTTTAGATCATGTGCAGAAGAAAATCCCTGTCTTTTTATACCACTTCATTGTGGCTTTAAGCATTGTACCTGGCTTGTATGTAAACAAGATTCAATCCCTCCTGCTTCTGTGTTTCAGAGAAGAGCTGGATTTTTTTTAAACATACAGCATTATATAGGAAGAATTATAGTATCTCATTATAAGCATCCTTATTGTGCTTTATTAAAATTAGTTTTATCACTGTACTAGGCTCTTTCTGCCACCACTCTCTCTCTCTCTTTCATTTCTAGCTTTAATGGAACTGGAAATCAAAGCTTGAGCTTCAAGCTATTCTGCTTCAGCTTACAATCAGTATGATTTGTGACATGGGTATGAATGCAGAGCTTTCTTGTTTCGTTACAGAAAGCTCAGTCCTAAGACCCTGAATGAATGTAACAGCTGCTGCCATGCTGACAAATACCTTCCCAACCAAGAGAGAAAGGCAATGTGCACAAACTTCAGCTTGACCTAATGGAGTAGGACAAAATAAATAAGAATTAATGATCTTACACACAGCTATTCCTAAACTTGGACTAAGGTTTATAATGTTATGTGCATGGGCTAAGACTAAATCATTGTAACACCTGAAGAGATATCAGAGAGCACTGGTTTACAGCTGGCAAGTGCAAACTATGTGGGCTTATTTCATGCTGTATCAAGTGAATACATTTCTAGGGCTTCACCTGCCATCTGTTGGTGGAAAACAGTAAGCAGAAAAACTACTTACCTTTTCAAAACTTGAGATACAACATTTAAAAGGTATAAACTATCGGTATGATAGTTTAAAAATGAAAAATAAATTGCCCTCGTGTAAGACTAGATATTTTCATATTTTTATTCAGGATGAGTTGGAAACAAATATCTTTATTTCAGTAATAGCACTACTAGTGTAAGCAATCTTATTCATTGCAAGTGATCTCACGGAGTCTCACTGAGGGGTAGGTGAATAGAGGAGAATGAGTAAAGAATCGTCTCATTCCATTCCCATTTAATATTTGTTATATTGATAAAGAAGAGTTAATTGGATTTTTAGTTGCTAAATTTTTATGACAATTTTGCAAGGTTGCAATAAGCCAAATAAAAGAGTGGGAAATTACTTCAGTATTTATTGCCTTCATT